GAGGCTCCTTTCTTTGCACTGAAAGAAGAGGGGGAAATGAGAATCTCTAATAACTTTTAAATTGCATCTATTCCATTGTGCCTAGAAATGTCCTCTCAAAAAGAAAAGCAATTAGGGACTTGCGGTCCCCTCTGTGGGACAGCTTTAGGGAACCTGACAGCCCCTCTCTCACAGGCAGATGCATAGCGGCTCCTTGTGAAAGGGGACATGTGAGTAGTTCCAGGGGCCCAGGACCCAGCCTGACACCATTTCCAGGGCTGCGCCTGCCACCTAGTGTTCGATAACCACATCGTCCAGCCTGTTACTCCAGGTCTGGTCTTAGAACCATGGTAATTAACTAGGGCACCGTCAGGATCATCTCATGGGCTTACTATCCCTTACAAGTTAGGGGCTATCAGTACCTCTCCAATTCATGGAGGTCATAGTAAGAATGCGCTGTTGCCCACAGTCACAAAGTAAAAAAGAAAGTTAAATAAAATACCTTAATAATCTAGGTCCTAAGACACCCCCTCCCCAGTAGGGCAGTGATGCAACTCCTGCAGTGCAGGACTTCTGCATCTGATCAATAAGAACCCTGCCAAGGCAGCTGTTGACTAACTTGGAGGCCTGCACAGAGAGGCATCCTTACTTAGAGTTGGCAAAACCCTGACAGATCACTGAGGAAACTGCCCTAATTATAGCAGGGCCAGAAGACAGAGAGAGACAAAGGTGTTATCTAATGTTACTTTAGGAGTGCCCATCACCAGGCAGGATCAGGACAGGAACACATGCCTCTACCTCACATTCAGGAAGCCCCTTAAAAATAGAGGTTGGCCACTCTTGCCAACAGATATAAGACAGTTATCGGAATCCACAGGCAGGAAAAAGCCAAGCATCTTTAACTTGGGTCCCATTACCATACCTTAACGCCTATGTAAAAGGTCTGTAGTGATGTTATAATCGCATCTGTGATGCAAATTTTGTCACAGTTTTTGTGTCAAAAGTAGCATACTGTTCAGAAAAACATTTCAAATAGTTGGACTTTGTTGGCTCTTCTGGGTTCCACACATCAAGAAATAAAAATAATAGTAATAATAACATCTCTTCAACTTCTAAGAGAATCCCCACTGGAATTACTACAAGCAAAGCAGAAGCCCAAAAGAAGGAGGTTTCTTTTCATCACAGTTTCCAAACAGACACCTGACTGTGGCCATCATCAGCTCCAGCATGAACTCCCAGGCCCAACACTTTCCTGCTTTCCGCACATCAAAATGAAGAGTTACATAGAAGGTTCCATTCCATGACTAGGACCGGGCCCCACAAAGTTTTCTGTTATGAGTGATCTCTGACCCCACCCTACTGGTAAAACTCATAACAACCAAACATTCAGATCGGCAAAGGATGTCAAAAGATACTTCAAAATTCCAGTAAAACTGTCCATGCAAATATGTCATGAGAATTCAATATATGCTTTGGGGGCAAAAGCAACAGTGTTTATCAATATAATCAGTGGTAACCAAAGAAATCATGTTTCTCCATAGAGTGTCATCCTGTCTTGAAGCATGTCAAAGGCTCCTTTATCAAAGCAGGCACAACAGAACTTGAAACACAATTTCCTTCCCGGGCACTAAAAGCAAATTAGCTTTGGGCCCAGTTTCCAAGGAAAGTTTCTGCATCTCCTGCATCCTAGCCTGGGCCCAGGAATCTGGGCACCTGCACCTGTGCATGAGTACATACATGTGCATGTGCCACATGCTCTCTGGGACTCACAGGTTGGCCAGGCCCGCCTTGCGCTGTCAGCATGGAGTTCAGCAACTGGGTGAGCTCCCCGGTTCCTTTGGCCTGTCGCCCCTTTTCCATAACGTACAGGGTCAGGGTGAGCGTGTCCGTTTCGAACGGGCTTCTGTCCGTTATTATGGCTGGTGGGACTTCAAATCCTCCCTGCAGGAATCCTTGCTTATCTTGCAGGCAGCTGTGCACCGTGCACGCTGGTGAAAGACCGGTGCTGGTGGTGTCAGGGCCTTTAAGGAAAAGGACCCTGGCCCACATGACCTAGATAGCTGGACAAGCCCTCCAGGAAACCATTCTGGCCTGGATGATGGTGGCTGCTGCCAACGCACAGTAAGCAGGCTGGAAATAGAACAGGCTGCCTGCCCGGAAAGGTAGGCCTCATTCTCTACATGAGCTCCCCCTCTTTGAAGATCCCAAGAAACAGTGTTCAGCTACAAGGGAGAGGTGAGGGGCCCAGCTAATAAAAAGGACCCACAAAATCCTACTGGGAACACAAAAGGATTCTGCTGCTGCGGCCTCGTTCTCCACGGTTACGGCTCTGGTGGCAGATTGGAGCATAGCTTATCTGGGGCGTAGGTCACATAAACTAATGGCAACCCCAGGATCGGTAGCCAGGATGGAGATCCATGGTAGATGTCCAATCCAAAAGATTTTATATATATATCGTCCTAGCATGATGCCTGGCACCATGATTCTTTAGCAGTTTCTCTGGATTTTTTTTGTTGTTGTTTTTATTTAAAAAAAAAATACTTCATAGTGTTGGAGAGATGGCTCAGCTGTTAAGAGCACTGGCTGCTTTTGCAGAGGACATGGGTTGAATTCCCAGCACCTACATGGTTCCAGGAAATCCACCACCCTCTTCTGTCCTCTGTGGGTACTATTCGACAGGGGGGAACTTAAATACATGGGTGCACTTACATACGTGTGGGCAATACACTCATACACATAAAATAAAAATAAAATCATGAAGACTATATGAAAGAACTCCTTTTGACCCTTGCTTAGCACGTCGCCAATAACAAATAGTTAAGTTTTGCATTTCGCCCGGGGAAACCAATGGTGATTTCTCTGGCATAATTCTAGAAGGATCAGTGGCGCTATTTGTGGAATCCTGAACCAGTAAATGACTGGATGGATGGAAGGAGCCACCTTCGGGTTGGTTTTCAGGTTCCTCTTCAGTCTAACAGTGTCATTATAGTAAGAAGGTTTCCCCAGTGACAGTACATAGCAGTGTCCCTCAAAGGGGACCTATTTCTCTAGTCTAAACTAGAGAAATTAAAAGTGCATTCTTACAAAACCCAGATGTGAATATTTACATCAGCATTATATATAATTGTGATAAGGCACACTGCCCCTCCAGGCCCCAGACCCAGGAGGGAGCTACATCTGTGGGCTCTCTTCTCATATCTGACCCAGAACCCTCATCCGTATACCTCCTCCAAGCTTCCCATCCAGGCACAGACAGGATCTGCTTTTGCAAGCTCTCTTGGCCCAGGCTCAGCTGGGATCCATATCTATGTGTGCTCTTTTTCTGAGTTCCTGGATCTGTGCTGCACCCCAGGTTCAGCTAGGAGCCACATTCAAGTGTTTTTTCAGAGAGTTTGCCTGGTCCCTCCCCCGACTCAGGCCCTGGTGGGAGCCTCACCAGGGGAGTTTTCTGGACTTCACCCAAACAATCTCACACAATCCTTAAGACCCCCACATCACATGGCTTACCACTAAATTGGAATTACCTCACTCTCTCCAGTCAATAACCAACACTGTCTGAAGGCCTGACCAACTCACTCCTCCTACCTGACCTGAAATCAACCAACTTTGCATAACAGCAAAAACAGAACCAAACTTCCATTCAACATAGGCAGATTAGAATCTTATATCAGACACACTACCAATGAATGAATTCACATGCCCAGGTCTCATTGCAAAATAACACAAACGATATGAAACACCACAATATTATATCCCTTCCAGACCACTAGTCTTACAGAAATATTCTCCAATGGGTATTAAAAGAACAATTATAAACATGATTGAAGAAATGCATAATTAAGCCATGAAATTTGCAGCTGAATGGATGGAACTGAAAAATACTGAGTGGAGTAGCCCAGACCCACAAAGACCGATGACACCTCTTCTCTTTTATTTGTGGATCTTAGTTCTGAATCTTAAGACTTGAGTGTTTAACCTAAAGTGACCATACAAACCAGGAAGAGTTGGGGAGGACACTTGAGAGGAGCATAGCACACTATGAAGGGGAAAAGGGGAAGGTGGGCACACAAGTAGAGATGGGAGGAGAGTAATACAGGAGGAGAGGGAGGGAGGATGGATACCAGGGAACATTTGGAAAAGCCATAGGGAAACCTATTTTTTTACAAGCTTACTTAAATGTACATATTATCATAGATGAGTGTATAAATCTATAGTTTTAATGCAATCACCCCACACCAACTGATCACTACCGGGTGAGGGGAAAGTTGGTTTTCTTTAAGGGAGGGGCACTAGATAGGTTGATCAGGCTCCAGTGGATGGACTCACACCAACGGATATTTGGGGACACAAACTTGACTCGATAGGTTTTAACATATGTGACAGAATGCATGAAATCTGGTGGGGGAGGCTATAGGGGTAAGTGCAGATAGGGGAGGGGGGTCTAAATATGATCAAAATGTACTGTATGAAATGCACAAAAATCAATTTTGAAAACTAAAATAAAGTGGAGCATGATTGAGGAAGACAACCATGGCCAACCTCTGGCCTCCGTATGCGTGTATGCATGTGTACATACACTCACATGCACATGTGCATGCACACAAATATGTATATACACACATCAAGAATTATTGGAGGCGGGTGTTTGTTTGGGATTTTTACCATTTGGAGCCCAGAAGCCCAGGTCCAAGATGACAAGGTCTTGCTCCCTCAGGAGGCTCTGCAGGAAGATCTACCCCCCACCTCTTTCTGCTTCCAGTACATTCATTGGCTGCCATGGCTTGTGACCACGTCAGTCCAGTCTCTGCCTCCATCATCACCTTGCCGTCTCCTATGTGGATCCCTTATAAGGACAGTTACTGCATTACAGGCCCACCCAGGAAATCTAGGATGACCTCTCACCTCAAAGTCTTCAACTTAATTACATCTGCAAAGACTTTTTCCAAATAAGATCACACTCATGAGTCCCAGAGATTTAGATATGGATATATTTTTTAAGGGGGTGCCATTAAACCCACTACAGGCATCTTGAAATTATTCTCAAATCTGGTTAGGGACCATGCTACAGCTACTCTGAGGGCTTTGAGAACTAATGGGGTGCAAGGGAGAGCATCTGCCTCACCTGGTCTGACTTGCTCCATTCAATGCCCCGTGCTATATGCTGTGTGTAACCTGCCCTTGTTGGCAAACCCAAGGCAGGTATGGCTTCCCCTCACACTGGAAGGATGATCCTTCACATACTCGATGGTAGATATAGCCTCTGCTGATTTGCTTTTTTGATTTCAGTTTAAGGTCAAGTATGATTTTAACATGGAAAGTGAGCATTGTGACTATGAAACCTCTAAGAACAGAGCCGAGGTCGTGGGTGGGATAGGGGAAGGGTGGAGCCTCTTGACACCTTCTGTGCTGATCCTGAGGAAGTCAGCAAAGTGCCTAGCTGCATAATGTGCAGGCTTCAAAGGTGTTTGCACAGGAGATGCTGTGTGTTTAAGAACTGAAAGGATTTCCCACTTTAAGGCAAAATGACCTGAGTTTCTGTGCATTGCTATATGATATGGGTGTGATTCCTGGCATCTAAAACCTCCAGGGCTGACTCCAACTCAGATTCTAAGAACCGTCAGAGGAGATGTGCTGATTGCTCTGTTGTTTCTCTGGATCCTGCCTCTGGATCAGGGCCAATTACAGACAAAAACTTGGATGTATTCACAGAATACAAGGAAGCATCCGTGAAAATATTCCATCAACTGAATCCACATCTCAACCAAGAGACACCATGCAGAACATACAGAAAAAAGCAGAGGAAAGGTCTCTTTTTGTTATTCTGCTTGGTACTGGAGTAGGGAAGTATTGCTTCCCATACTGTCTGTTGTGGGAAAAGGTACCCAGATGCTGCTGCAACCCCTTCGATGGTACAAAACATTAAAAACCAAAAGGGAACCGATAAGATAGTTTAGTTGGTAAAGTGTTTACCTTGAAGGCATGGGGCCCCTCTGAGTTCAATCCCCAGAACCCATGTTAAGAAATTAAGAGGCTGGAGAGATGTCTCAGCGGCTAAGAGCACTGGCTGCTCTTGGAGAGGACCCAGGTTCGAATCACAGTACCCACATGGCAGCTAGCAGTCATCTGTAACTCCAGTTCCAGGGGATCCAATGCCCTCTTTTGACCTCTAAGGGTATTGCATGACACAGGTGCACTTATACACATGCAAACAATACACACACACAAACACAAAAAATAAAAAAAAAAATTTTAATTTTATTATTTTTATTTTATGTGTATACGTGTATTGCCTTCATTGTAGGTAAGTGCACCCATGTCACGCAATGCCCGCCAAAGTCAGAAGAGGCTGTCGGATCCCCTGGGACTGGAGTTACAGACAGTTGTTAGCTGTCATGTGGGTGCTGGTATTCGAACTCAGGTCTTCTGCAAGAACAACCAGTGTTCTTAACCACCGAGCCATCTCTCCAGCCCATAATAATAATTTTTAAAGAAATTAATTTTTAAAAGTTGAATATGTATGAAGTTCCTGAAGAATCGATTAAAATGATTGTGCAATTTTGGTGGTGCAAACTTGTAATCCCAGCATTCAGGAAACAGAGAGAGGCAGATCACTGGGGCTAGTTGGTGAGTCCCAATGAGAGACCCTGTCTCAAAAGAAAAGGTAGCTGGCACCTGAGAAGTAATGCCCAAAGTCATGTGCATACACACACATGCACACACACACACACACACACACACAAACACAGAGACATACACACACACCCACAAACACAGAGACATGCACACACACACGCACACATGCAAACACATACATGGTCCTATTTTTTCAATCTTATATTAGCTATTGTTCTGTTTCTATGACAAACACCACGTTCAATACAACTTGTAAAAGGTAGAGTTTCTTTGGGTGTGGTCGCCTGCTGTGGCTGCTCTCTTGCCCTTGCAGTTCCTCTGATCAGTGTCCAGTCCAGACCCCAGGGCTGGTGAGGAGTCTGCTCCGGACCCCAGGGCTGGTGAGGAGTCTGCGCCAGCATCACCGCATTCAGATGCTAGAGATAGGCAGATTACTGGGGCTAGTTGGTGAGTTCCAATGAGAGATCCTGTCTCCAAAAGAAAAGGTAGCTGGCACCTGAGAAGTAATGCCCAAGGTCATGTGCATACACACACACACACACACACACACACACACACAGAGAGAGAGAGAGAGAAGGTGCTTTGTGAGTCAGGATTTTCCTGATGGGTGCAGCCACAGATGGAGTTGGGAAAGTGCTAGGATGTGAGTTCAGTCAGAAACCAAAAGTAACTGCAAGGCTTGTGATCAAACTAAGTTTCCTGTTGGAACAACATGGAGATAATGGAATGTTCCCCCCAAAACACGGATTTCACACACACATACACACAACCACACACAGGGGGCAGGGAGAAACTCAAGAAAGCACACAGGTGTTTCATAACTTGCCTTGATCTTGAACTTCTAATCCAGAAAGAACAAAATTTATCTACAGGATGAGCTGCTTAGAGAGAGTGTTTAATGAGAAATATATCTGCTTACTACAAATTCTATTTCCTTACATCTAGTTCTTATAATTAATCATTTTCATCATGGTAACTGGATTCTCCAGAGGAATTATTATGATTTCTCATTTGAAAGTGCTATGTGTTTATAGAAAAAGCATCACTCAGGGGCTGGAGAGATGTCTCAGCAGTTAAGAACACTGGCTGCTCTTGCAGAAGACCTGGGTTCGAACCCCAGCACCCACATGGCAGCTAACAACTGCCTGTAACCCCAGTCCCAGGGGATCTGACAGCTTCTTCTGTCCTCTATGGGCATTGCACGACACAGGTGTACTTACCTACAAGCAGGCAATACACACATACACATAAAATAAAAAAAGAAAGAAAAATCATCACTGAATAATAATATAAACTGTCACCTGTGACTCAGGTGGCTACAGACCTGTGGGAGGCCAGAAAGTCATAACTGCCTACCACCAGTAACTGAGAGATATGTTGAATTCTAGAGGGGCCAAAACAGGCTTATTCTGGTTGGTTATACACAGCCAGAGCTGAACAGGATGGTACATGCAAGAAATAAAGCATTAGGTCCATTTAGTGGCCAGGATGCCAGAGTTCATATCCCAGTCCTGCCTGCCACTCGTTGGCTGGAGACTTCCAATAAATTTCTCCAACTCTCATCTCTCCCTTTCATCATCAATAAAACATCCATCATGACATTGCATTTAGGAGACTGCTGTGAAGATTAAATGAGTTGTTTAATGTTCTGTGTATTTATTATCTGACACAAAGCAATGAAGAATTCTTTTATAAAGGAAAACTGTGTTTATTTCTTCTTCACCTACTCAAAATATATACTGACCACAGTGCCATTACCAAGATAGCATGTGGGTTAGGCAGCACCGGGCACTTCAAGGCATTGGATTGTGAAAATACCCACGCTGTTTCGTCCACTGTCTAGGAATCTGCAACGCACAGTCAGATTAGGGTAGCACGTGAGACCAGAGGTCCAGATAAAAGGCACTGCTTTGGCGGAGGGTGAGGCAGGAACTTCATTTTGCAGAGTGCTTCTTGTATATCTCTAGGAACTCCTTCACGTCGTCTGGGGACCCCATGATGACTGGCGCCCTCTGGTGGATATCAGTGGGAACAATGTCTAGTACAGCTTCCTTCCCTGTGGTGGCCAATCCTCCTGCTTTCTCCATGACCAAGGCCATCGGATTACATTCATACAGCAGCCTCAGCTGGAAAACAAGGCGAGATACCGGGTCCTCATGCCAGAAGGTGTTAGAGAGAAAGAACTTGTTTTGTTAAGCACTGCAGAACTGGAGGGAGTTTCCACGGTAACCAACACTCACTCTCCTATGAGTTACTAAAGTCCCCCCGTGCCCCAGGTTGCATCTGAGACAAAACAGTTAGCTCTTTGGTTGAATAAAGCCATTCATGGAGCCAGAGCTAGCCACCTGATGCAACTGTGAGGCAGACCACCTGGATTTGGGACAGAGTGACATGTTGGCAGTACTGACGGTTCCCCACTGTTTATAGCACAGAGACTGGACTTAATGGGTGATTCTGTGTGTGTTTTGGATGGAGCCCTGCCTGTTCTAAAAGCATTTTTAAAAACCCACAGTCCTGTCTGGTTGCAGACATCTGGAAGGCAGACTGGCTCCTCCACATGGTGTAATATCGACCGCAGCCTGTGCATTCCTCTTGCAAACCTCCTAATGATCAGGCTTGGGATTTTGTGTGTCATATGTCTTGGCATTTACTTTTGAAAATTAACTTTTTTATCGAGTACATTTTAATACAGTCTGCCTACAGAGCAGACAATTAATGTTTCCTGACTCTAATTCCACCTGGGAATCCAGGCCAGATTTGGAAAACTTAGGGGGAGGGTCCACATTTGTGTTAACAATTTTTGAGTCCTTTGAGGAAAAGTGCTGTAAAGCCAGCTGAGCATACACATTGGGGTGGTGACAGGAAGACCGGTGTTTCAAGTATAAAGAATATCTTCAGTGAACTGGACACCACGAGCTGTAAAGATCTAGAGAGATTTGGAGGGGGGGGCTTTTTGAGGCAGGGTCTCCCTGTAGTCCCAGCTTGCCTGGAACTCACTATGTAGACCAGGCTGGCCTTGAACTCACAGAGATCCACCTGCCTCTGCTTCGAGAGTGCTGGGATTAAAGGCGTGTGCCACCACGCCCGGCTCTAAAGAGATTTTAAATGTGTTGGTTCTTGACATCTTAAGGAGGGTGCTGCCCGTTTCTTCTCTCACACAAAAAAAGGAGGGGCTGAGAATGTAGCTCAGTTGGTAGAGTGCTTGTCTGGCATGCACAAGGCCCTGGATTTGATCCTCAGCTCGGCATAGGACTGGGTATGGTGGTACACATCTGATATCCTGGCATTTGGGTGGTGGAAGCAGGAGGATCAGGGGTTCAGGGTCACCCTTGACTACATAGAGAGCTCAAAACCATCCTGGGCTACATGAGACTCTATCACAAATAGATGATAGATGATAGGTAGATGGTAGATAGATAGATAGATAGATAGATAGATAGATAGATAGATTGATTGATTGGTGGATGGTGGATGGATGGATGGATAGATAGGTAGATAGAAGATAGATAGATGATAGATAGATGATAGATGATAGAGATAGATAGATTGATGATAGATGGAGGATAGATAGATATAGACAGATATAGATAGAACATAGATAGATGATAGATAGATAGATAGATAGATAGATAGATATAGATAGATAGATAGATAGATAGATAGATAGATAGATAGATAGATGAGGTGGGGAAGAAGACATAACACCTGGGAAGGAAGCATTTTGTCACTTTGTGTGTAGAAGGAAACGTGTCCCCTAGCCAGCATTAGAAAGTATTCCTGCCCTGTGGCTTTGCTGGGAACCCAGCCAGAATCTGGCCAATATAGTCAGTGGGAAAATCACCTGAAAGCTCTGAAATTTCCCAATAGATTCTTCCCTGGTCTCAGAGGGCATCACTTTCCAAGTAGCAAATGTCAGGCACATTAGTTATTTCTATTTTATGCCTTTTGAAAGCGATCAAAGCAGACCTCTCTCTGCAATGCATATTTGATTTGCTATCTTGGTAATGAGATGGGACTATTTCATTTCCCTCTATGAATGGAACTCATTCTGTCCAAGCCAAACCCCACACTGCTTAAAAGCTCTGAGCACTTTTAGTCCCCTGCTGACCATAACTCCATTAATTCTCTTTTGCTGTGGCATTGGAAGGCTCTCAGGGGGACATTTTCACATTTAGTTGATACCATATGACTTTGCCTTGAATCTGGAGACTGCCCCACAGACATTTTAGCAACCACCAGGAGAGCACAGCAGCATCAGAACCCTCTGTCTTCCTAATGAAGTCAAATCCCCCAGGCTGGAAACGAAGCCCACTGCTTCTCAATCACTTCCTTGGGGATGTACATACCTTTCCATTGGGGCTTTTCTTGTTGGCAGGGTATAAAAAGATCCCTCCATACACCAGAGTGCGGTGAACATCAGCCACCATGGACCCCACATACCTGGCACCATAGGGAGCAGAATTATCCTACAAGGTTAAGAGCAACAATAATTAGAGCTACAGAAAATAAAAGACACACTCTTTGTGTCCACAATGCTTATCTGGTTCCACAGTCATTCATCAAGTCCCTCACAGAATGCACATTTGGAGTTGAACTAAGCTATGATGAAATTTCCATTCCCAAGAAGAAAACAAAGTAATGGAGGCACAGTCTCCTCACCATCTCCCAGCAGGTCGGATTACTGCCTGAATCCCAAGAGGGTAGGTTTGATTTTAGCTATGAGGTTGCAGCAGGCAATACAAAAACTCTATCTTGAAGGTTGACAAGGATTTTTGCCGAGCTAAGGAACTGGGTACGTACACAGGTATATGTTTCCTGGGACAGGAACTGGTTCAAGCAAGAGCTTAACAGTATAAAGAGGTAAATGCTGTCACTACAGGCATGCTGACACGCATGTGTGCAGGGATTGGGCATGTAAAAGGAGATAAAATCAGGCTAGGAAAAAAGCCCAGGGCTAGCTCTGAGGACCCTGGATGCTATGTCAACATGTGGGCTTCATCCTCAGAAAACAACAGCAACAGTATGACAAAATTAAATATTCCCATGTACAGCCAGCTGTACAATCAGTCATTTTTCCTCTTCATATTCACTAATTTGTAACCACTTATAGTGAGATACCAAGACAGACACCATCCATCTTTTTTTCATGTGGCATGCATGCAAACATGTATGTGTGTTCATGTAGTCATGGGCACGTGTGTACGCATGCATGTAGAGGCTAGAGGTTAATGTCTGGTGTCCTCCTCAATCATTCTCAACCTTATATATTGAGATAAGACCTTTCACTTGAACCTGGAGCTTGCTGATATGGCTAGCCTAGGTAGCCACCTTGCTCAGGGAATCCTGTCTCTGCCTCCCACATGCTAGGATTATAGACAGGCCACCTGTAATATGGATCTGAGGATCCAAACTCCAGTCCTCAAACCTGTGTAGCAAGCACTTTGCTGGCTGAACCATCTCCCCAGCCCAAAAGTATCCATCTTGACAAAACTTACAGAAATCTATCACAGACATAAACCTGAAGGGACAGACACCACACAACAGCTATTTGGGTGGGAGAACCTTCTATACTTCTGGGAACCAGGGACCCCAAAAGTAGGAATGTTTTATTACCATGAAGTAGTTCATCTGGTTGACTTTATTATCCCAATTTTGTAATGGGCATAAAAACTAAAATAACACCCTTTTTTTGTTGTTGGTGGTTTTTTGTTTTGTTTTGTTTTGGGTTTTTTTTTGTCTTTTTGAGACAGAGTCTCCCCATTTTCCCAACTGGCTCAGAACTCGCTATGTAGACCAAGGTGGCCTTGAGCTCACAGAAATCTGTCTTCTTCTCCCTCCTGAGTGCTTGGGTTAAAGG